TATAGTGGAGTAAATTTTTTTCCAAATAATAATAAACAAGCCTTGGTGAGTCTTTGTATCCGTGATTTTCCTGAATCGTTTATACTCAGCAGATGGAATGGTTCAAAATGTAGCGGATACTCCCATTTCGTCAGTAGTGGTTGACCTAGACCACGATGAGTTCAGAGGTAACTAAAGAGAATGGAACGGTTTTTATTAACAACAAATGGACATTGATAATAAGTAAGATGTAAGGTTTATGTACACCAATGGTCGATTGATCCGTCTTTGTTCTTTAGGAATTTTTCGAGCATCGAATCCACCAAATTTACTATGAAGTCCTTTTCTATTTTGTGCTCCATTACGTATCGCGTTGTGATACTTGATAAAGTTTGTGGTTTTCATGTTGAGATCATTTAATCTTGGCACTCAAGGTCACGCACATTTAATTGACACTCATGCAACCTAGAAACTAAGTAGATCGAAGTAAACAAAATATAAAATAGTATCCATACCTAAAGCATTATTAAGGGTGATGAATATCATGAAACTCCATTTGATCATAAAGAAACTATTTTAGTGCATCACAATCGGCCAGTACTATACATATAGGAGAGATACTTCAAACTTCAGTGAATTTTCGGGCTGCTTTCCGAGCTATATACCACTTTCATCCTGTCCCTCCCCTAGTTTTTTCAAAGAATGTGAACATAACCAGGTAAATCGAAACACCTGAATCTTATAAGCACGTGATATACATCTACATTAAACCTGAGCATCCAATATTGCCTGGGATACTGATAAGTAAGTAGATATGATGGATTAGAGAACCTCAAAGACTTACTATACACTTGTGACTCAGACTGGTGACTGTTGTGGCTCACAAGTGACTGGTACTTTGGTCATGCATGTCTATGGCCGGTGGTGGCCCGGTGATAACGTCACCAAATTATCACCTGGGGGACGTGCGTTCGAGTCCTACCACCACCGCCTGACTTTATTGTATGACAGCCTTTTGATTGGCCGCTTCCCCCTTGCTGAAAATTGTATCGTTCTGTATTCAATAAAAGGAATTAAAATTAAAAAAAAGATAAATGAAAGAAAAATGGTTGATTGATTGATTGATTATCCTTTTGAGTGCCCGGCTTGACGGCATACGGATGTAGTGTGACGTGTGAGTCTGTGTTGGCCTGTCCGCCTGCCTGCCTTCCTACCTGTTGCTGTTTCTGCTTGCTCCTCGGTCTATGAATCGTCCACATATGTGCTGTCTGCAATAAATATCTTGGTTAATTCAATGCGTACTCATCTCCCTACTTAACCTGGAACACAACATTTGGCATCCCGAGCATCTGGATGGGTCGAGGAGTTTGTATTCAACTAGTCGACAGAAAAATGATACAAAGTCGAGTAAATCGATATGCTACTTCTGTCTACAAAGGGGTTTGTTTTATTTGAGTTGCAAATCCACTGAGGCAGATGATGTTCCAAGCCTCTTGGAATTCGAATAAAAAGAAAGAGATGACTAAATAGTATGAAAAAGTTTCTTTTTCATTGCCTACTGTTCTCTTATTCAATTTGACAACTAACCAGCGTCGAGAAGAGTACTGTAAATAAGCGGATCTGTTGAGTCATGTGTCATGTTAGACCGTCAGACCAAACAGATTCAGATAAACATGAGGTTAACTACCTGGGGCGCATTTATTCAAGCGTTTCCCGTCGGAACGAACCATTTAGTTAACTCAGTTTTGTATTGTTTCAAAATTCCCTCCAAAAATAAAGCTAAGCACGCTTTGGCAAACAAAACAGCCGAACGTTTAACGAAAACGGACTTCACTTATGACATATATTGCAAACAAACGTGTCATATCAATGAACTAGAAGACGTACGTCGGTCGGTCTGTCTATCTATCTGTCTGTCAGACTCTATCGAGTGCACTTTGTTGTGTATGTTTGCAACTTGTGTCAACTTGTGTCCACTATAGTGTGTGGTCGACACCGGAGCTGCTCATTCACTCACTCACTCGCTCGCTCGTTTGTTTTCTTTGTTGTTTTTTTTGTGCGCAAAACTGTCACACAACACCGTTTCACACCATGACGACATGCGAGCAGGTTGAATGGTTTTCCCTGCATCGGCATTTTGACGTAGTGCTTGCTACCCAGTGTCGGTTCAGTTCGGGGATCGGACGAGACCGGTCTGGCAAATCGAATTGCGCAGTGTGGGAGAAATTTCGAACACCATTCTCTAATAAACTATGAAAAACAGATGAAAAGAATTTTATATTGAATTGTTCTTTGAACAACTACATATTTAAAGGGGAATGCGCTAAATTTATCCACTTGTAAGATGCACATCCGGTACTTTAATTTTTTTTAAATATAACTTTATTCTCTCTATCCTTTGTTCTTATCCAACTATTTCATGTTCGCTGTTCCACATCGTCCATTATTGTCTGAAATCGTTAGGACTAGGCGTCTCTGTCAAACTGGTGTTTGTGTGGAACTTATACGCAACCGAAACGAGACTGGTTTGTCCATGGCATCATTAGATGTGACATCGTTGTTCACATGTGTTCCTTTGTGGGATACAATAAACTATTTATGTGACTGCATTATGGTCAACGAGATAAACATCGGTATTCCACTGGCTAGCTTGAAGGAGTTACTACTACACTGTACCTTCAATTTTCAGTTTAGCTTCAACGGAGAATTGTACAGACAAACGGACGGAGTTGCAATGGGATCACCTCTGGGCCCACTTTTGGCTGACATTTTCGTCGCAAAATTGGAAAACCAAGAACTTCAAGATACCATAGAAGGTTTACCATTCTATTGCCGTTACGCTGACGATATTTTCATATTAGTTGACGATAATATACCGTTGTAAACACTGACCAGCACGTCTAACCAAGCTCACAACGCGCTCCATTTTACGTCGGAAATGGAATCGGCCAACACATTTCACTTTCTAGATGTTCATCTTACCAAGCGCTCGGACGGTACAATTAGTAGACCAGTTTACAGGAAATCCACATGGACAGATCAATACACTCATTTCGCCAGCTTTGTACCTTTGCAGCGTAAGCGAAGCCTCGTCCGATCCCTAGCTGCTCGCGTCGGAAATATATGTTCAGCAAAAAACCTGGAGTTAGAATTGAACCGGCTCAGGCAAGTCCTATTAAACAATGGCTACCCCGACAAACTTATTAAAAAGAATCTATGTGAAAGAACCAAAAGAACAACAGTAACTACAGTAAGCCAAAAGCAAATCTATGTACGTCTCCCGTTTAAAGATGACTACAAATGCGATTTGTTAACAAGACGCCTAGATAAGTCGATCGCTCGGGCGTTTCCTGCGGCCCGGTTACGTACACAATTCACCAGCCGATCTTTGTTGTCATTGAACCTCAAAGATAAATTGCCTATCCTCACTTCCTCCATGTTGACCTATTCTTTTGTTTGCTCATATTCGGCAAGCTACATAGACAGGACGATCAGGCAGTCTTTTTTCTCAAAGAATCAAGGAACACAAACCGGCTTGGTTAAACTTAGGAACCATAAGGACCGTTTTGAGTACAACCACGGCGCCCCTCGTAGATACCGGACATCAGATAACTGAGAATGCGTTCAAAATTATCTACAAGGTACCCCCAAGACCCTCCAAAACCCTCCGACAGCGCCATCTTGCGACAGCAGAGGCGGTAGCAATAAGGTTNCACAAAAAACAATTCGTCAAAGCCCTACAGTTACCCTGGCCCAGACCCGACACTCAACGTCAATTAACCCATGACGCTTCTCGTGACCCTTTGATCTAAGTGTGTGACCTCACCCTTCCGGTTTCATCCCTCTTCCCCCTCCCTCTTCTTTCTCTGTTTTCACGATTCCCCATTCTAAAACCACGGATCAACAATTTTTTGGTTTTTGGTTTTCACCTCTTCCCCAACCACTTCTCACCACTCCCTTGCCGTCCAATCAACGCATTTTCGTTCTGACATTATTTGTTGCACGTTTATTCACTAAATGTATGTAACTGTATTAGCCAGAGCATGAAGCTTTTGACAACGAGCTTGTTCATTACTCGTGTTGTTCTGTCAAATTGGTTTCATTCTCTGAATTAAACAATGATACATTTGTGTATTTTTTGTTTTCGAGAATATGACACGGTTTTGTGTGAACTACACTTTGAAGAGATATCTTTTTGGAGAAATTCTCTAATTGATACTTTGTTAGGCCAATCAATTGATCACAAGTTTATTTGCACGTTCCTTTGTTCCCAGACCGAGACAACTGGCATACGCGGTATACGCGCTTATCGCCTCAATCGTTTAACCATGGTTGAACATCAGACATTACAGACAAAAAAGAAAAGAGCATTTCGCAGTACTGCACGATTTATGCGCAGGACGATTTCACCGCATCTCAACACGATGCATATTACAGACAAGCAATGGTCCTACAGGGAATTAGTATAGCATCACATAGCACATTTGATCCTGTGTTTCGCGTCGTTTATCGCACTACATCGCGCCATGAATAAAACGAATTCAGTTTATGAGGTGATGTGAAAACAGGTTCACCGTCCACTTCCAACTTCACCGACGGCACTTTCATGCCACCAACGTTACCGGAACACTGTACAATCAAATGTTGAAGATGTGAGGCGATTGGCTTATCGTTTTTGGTATGTAGTGTGATTGACCCTTGTAGTAATCGCATTGCTCGAGGGCCCAGAATAGACGGGCTGTGAGCTGTTACCCGGAATCGGATCGAGATTAACACACCGGATTCAGATTGAACGCACAACATCG